GAGAGAGAGAGAGAGAGAGAGAGAGAGAGAGAGAGAGAGAGAGAGAGAGAGAGAGAGAGAGAGAGCCATTCTGTGGCTCCTGGAAGTGAACTTTGGGGTCTGCAGTCATAGGTCTGGGTAGGGCAGGTGGCAGGAGTTCTGGCCTGGGAGCCGCAGGCGGGGTAGCCAAGGTAGCACCCCTTTCATACCCGTCTCTTGGCTAAAATCCAGGCATGTGCCAGTCAAAGGGAGCCGGCCCCACACCGCCTCATGGCTGCTGTGGAGGCCAGCTTGTTCCATTCCAGGATCTCAGGGAACTCACTGAGGACTCTTTCTGCTCCATCTTCTGAGGCACAAGGAAGGGATGGAGGGGCCCCACCAGGGTGTGGCAGCGTGAAGACTGGAAGACTGGAAGACTGGCCCCTGGCATACTGATTCCCCAAGCACTGCCTTCCGGCATGCCCAGCCCGGGGCTGCCCAGCAGAGCCCAGCCAGTGTTGAGAGCACCATGGCACCCTGTGACTGAACCTGGGGCTGGAGCTCAATGCCCAGGACAGAGGACTGCTGGCCTCTGCAGCCCCAGCTGGTGCAGACTGTGGCTGGGCCTCCCTCTCCGAGCTCAGGGCGAGCTCTGTCACTCAGGCACCAGCACTACTTTTACTCTCCATGTAACATTTTTGAACCTAGGCTCCTGCTCTGCTTGGAAAAATGGACTTGTAATAGCATACTCCAGTGAGCTGAAAATTTACCATCCAAGCCATCTGGAGATCAAGGCAAGGCAAGGCAAGGGTATGAAGCTGGTTCACATTTCTCCAGAGTGGCATGTGCAGAAGATTAAAGCCAATGGTTTCCAGTTAGAAACATATCTTTCCTCTGTCCTGTTCAGTTGTCAGAGTTTTTTTTTTTTTTTTTTTTCTATACAACCTCAGCCCCATCTACAGGCACAATGGAGATGACAGATGGAAGGAAACAAATGACTGAGAAAAAGTCCTGTTGGAAGAGTGAGGACAGACACACAGAACCAAACTCTAAGAGCGGGACTGCTAGCCTTGTGAGTCCATCCCCCACCTCAGGGTCTGCGCACACAGCTTCCACCACGAGAATCTCCTCACCCAGCCCCGAACCCTATGGCTCCCTGCTGCATGGCACTCATGTCTTTGCCTAAAGGCCCTCCTTGAGGAGGCTTTCCCTGGCCACCCTGGAGTGAGGCTGCCGGCACTCTCCCTTGCTCTACGGGCATTTCCCTTCACAGCTACTTATGGCTTATATCTAGGTGTCTCCCCAAAGACTCAGGTTCCCGTTTAGGGTGAGTCTGCAGGTGAGAGTATAGCTAAATATGCTGGGCGGTGAAGCTGGTGGGGGAGGTAGGGTGTGGGGGTGTGCCCTGGAAGCATCTCCCTCCCTCCTTCCTTGATTGTTCTCTGCTCCTTGCCTGCCACACCATGATCTGTTTTGCCTCAGGGATGCCCCTCTGCCACACTGCCCTGTTTTGGAGTCAGCTGAGTATGGACTGAAATTTCTACAAAAATGTGAACCAGAATAAACCTCTCCTTCGCTGAGCAGCGGCTCTCTGGTAGTGTGCCTGGGCCTCCAGGAAAGAAGCTGAGATTCAGCTTTAACCATGAAATGACGCTCAATTGCGTATTGAATTGCTTGTTTGTCTGCCGCCCTCTTCCAGGAAGGCAGGGAATCCATCTGTTTCCTATCACTGGGCCTCATCCCACCGAGAACAGTGATAAAGCCCTCAACAAATATTTGCAGACGGACAGAGACTTGTGACACAGTGAGGCCTCCAGAGCCCAGGGAGCAAAGGTTTCCTGGGGCTTGTGTCACCCAGCAGGAGAGAGACTTGGCCATTGCTGGGCCTCAGAGTCCTGAGGTGGGAAATGGGTAAGCGACAAGGGCAATCTCAGATCAGCCAGGCACGTGAACAGGGCTCCACCCTTGGGGCTCTGTGTTGCAGAGTTTCCTGTCTCTGCGGCCTGATCAAGCAGCTCAGTTGTCCTTGGGGAGGGGAAGGTGGAGCTCAGCCTACGCATTTCCTCTGGTTTTTTCAAAAACAGTTAGACCCAAAATATGCAAAATGCCACTGTGTAACTGTTTAACTGCCCAGGGAGAGTCAGTTTTCCTGGGTCCTGGGCCCCCTTGTGGCTGGAGCAGGACATGAGAAGCGTGGGAAGGAGGAGATAACTGGCTGGCTATGGCCAGGGCTCTGGTTCCTAGAGAGCCTGGCCCCTGGGAGGGAGTCGCGGGCATCCGTCAGCCAGGGGAGCTCCTGCCTGATCCCAGGGTGCTGGGGCTCGGTGTCGGTCTTGCTCACGGCACCCACGGGGAAGAGGGCTAGCTTCACCAACACCCCCCTTCTCCATTCTGTTCCCTGGGGGTCTTCTCTGGGGTTCCAGGAATTGGCATGGGGTTACCAAATCATAAAACAGTCACAAGTCTGCCCTAGAGAGAGCTCCCACCCTGTGCTGCAAGAGGACCAGCAAGTCAACCCAGTTGCAGGCAAACGAGTGAGGCAAGTCAGAACATTTTATAGGGTGAAAGAGAGCTGCATGCAAATCTGCCACTTACCTGTTACGTGACCTCAGTGGAGCTCCTTAACCTCTGTGAGCCTCAGTTTCTCCATCTGAAAGATAGACATAAATGCTCAGGTGTACCACCAGGAGAAGGCATGAGATCAAACAAGACAGCTTCAGCAGCAGGCTCAGCTCAGACCTGATGGTTATTAGCAGCCAGCTCCAAGTTGCTTTAGTCCACCAAGTCACTCATGTGGGAAGAGAACGCAGTTACCTCAAGGGTCCCGGATGTGAGTGAGGAGGGTGCCTGCACAGTCAAGCTTCCTGTTTCAAACCCCAAAATGAAGACTCGTACACATCCACGATCACTTCCTATTCTGAACTACTAAAGTTGGAGGGACGGCCCTAAGGTCTGCAAAACTCCAGGCAGCGCAAGAGATGAGTCAAAGCTGTCCCGGGAGGATGGGTACATGGAAAGAGAAGCAAAAGCACCCCTTTTCTGGGACCTGCAACACTTTGCTTCAGCTCTATGACAGCCTGGTACCTGCCAGGCAGAGGAAGGGGCAGCTCTGAGAGGCAGAGGAGCTGGCCTGGCCTGCTGTGGGCAGGGGGGGTAAGGTCAGAGGTCAGCCCTGGTCTGGAGCTGGATCTCAGGACAAAGCCAGGTCTCTCCCCTGACACAGGTGCCTGCCACAGGTCACAGATGGCACCTGGGTGAGACAGACATAGGCTCTGACTACGAAACATTCTTTCAACTGGCAGAAAACTGGGCATCTTGAGGGGGTGTGAATGCCAATCTGCAAATTTGTGAGGTGGCGTGATGGTCAGGTTGGTGCCTGTCTTGATTGGAACTGGACAAAGCACTCTGGACGGCATCTGTCCTCTGAGGATGCCTGAGGAAGGCGTGGCTGCCACAAGTGCCTTGGCTGCAGTGTGTCCCACCTTTTACCGATCTCTGCGTGGATAAGGCCTCTATGGGGCCATGTTTGTTTCCTCTGAAATCCATCCCAACTCCTGGCATACACTAGGTACTTGGAAAAGGAAGTCTTGACTCATACAGTGAGCCATAAGGCAGTGAGCAGGTGGTGGCCGGCCGCGGCAGAGCTCTGGGCTGTGCCGTCTGCCAGGTTGCAGACGTGCTCTGTGACTGCAGGCACATCATTGTCCTGGGCTAGCTGAGGCGGAGGTTGCTTTGACAGCCGAGTCTCCACAGGTTTCCTGTTCTCTGGGCCTCAGCCTCTCGGAGCAACCACGCAGCGTGTAAGCCAGAGGCAGCTTGGAGATGGCTACATGAATGTTGCTGTGAAGTCCCAGGAGCTCACCAAGACCCCTCCCACCGACACAGTGGCAGGGCTGGGCTGGGTGGATGGGCATCTCTCTCTGCCAGCGTCTGCAGCAGTGTCAGAGCCTTGTCAGTGAGCCCACATGTTTTCTTGAACTTGAATGCAAGTTTTCACAGGTGCCCCTCCTTCTGAATGCATGGTACTCCCCCAGCCTATGAGGCCTGGCCACATCGTTTGCTCTGGCCACTGAAGCGTGAGCAGTCAGCTGAGTGTGCTCACTGAGCAGAAGCTGCCACTGTGACTGTGGTGCTTTAGGTCTTCACGGAGCCCTGGGGACCACCTGCCTTCAGCCTGGAACTGAGCCTGAGAAAGTTCACACCACAATGACAGATTACAGCCTTGGCCTGCAGTAACCCAAAGCTTGTTTACCTGGAATGTGAACCAGATTTGCTACAAGTTGTTGAGCTTTGAGGATTGTTCTGCAGCAAAGCTAACAAATATAGGGCTCCTTTTGCCATAACTTTACCTCCTACTAGCAAGTGCTTGATCTCTAAGAACTGAATAGGTGGTCAGCCCACTACTGCGGCTTTGCATTTAATAACTAGGTGACCATGAACAAGTCACTTTGCTTCTCTGAGTCTTTGTTTATTGATCTCCAAAATGGGAACACTGAGAGATCTGTACCCTGAGACCACTGCAAGGCTGCAGCAGGAGGTGTAAAGTTTGTGGCCCAATTCATGATGCACAAGAGGAGCTTAGCATGGGTAGCAGCTAGGATGGCAGCGTGAGAGGGCAGAGGATGGACAGAACTGGACTGGAATGAAATGGTGTTCTTTTGGCCTGGCTTGTAGCAGGGGCTTCCTTGGCCACAGAGCAGGAGAGCTCTGCACTGTGGTGGGCCAGGGAAGGGCTGACCCCACCCAGAGAGGCAGCACACAGTTGGCTGGGGAGGCACCAAAAATAGAGGCAATGGATTGTGGTGCAGGGCAGGTGGGGCTCCCCCAGGCATGGCCCTACATCACAGACAGGAAGGGAGCAGAAGGCAGGAAGGCACCAGGAGGGTCGCATCCCTCTCCCCATCCTCCAGCCTCAGTTCTTAGAGGGGAAACTGAGGCCTGGGAAAGAGGCAGTGCCTTCCTCAAGACCTCACAGCTGGATGGTGACCTTGGGCTAGAACCACAGTCCCCCGAGGCCAGCCTGGGCATCATTCCACTACTGCCTGCTCATTCAGCAGGAAGTAGAGACTCATCGCTCTGCTGGCAGAGAAGCCAAAGTCACATTTCGCCACCCTGTGGGTGGATTTACCAGATTGTGCACAGCTCAACAGGCTTTTCTTTGAATTACTTCAGGATGTCTCCCTTCCGTTCTAGGAAGTCAGAACTATTCACAAGCTGGCAGGGTCAGGGTAGGGAGTGGGTGGCAAGCTGGGAAGGCAAATAAGTGCCTGAGAACTGGTATCTCGGGTCCTTTTTTGTATCCCCCACCAGGCCTGTGACAGCAGACTTTGAGGGAAAGTGGCCACAGGAAGCCCTTAGCTTTTCCCACCAGACACAGAACTGCACAGCACGAGACAGGGTGCTGTGCAGGAGTGAAGGAGCCTGGCTGCATGGGCCTGAGGGAGAAGGAGAAGCTGGCAGGGCCAGGAGAATGGGGAGAATTGCACGGAGCAGGGGAGCAGAGCGGCGCGGGAGCAGGAGGACCAACACTCCAGGCGTTGGTCTTTGCTTCTGTCTGGGGAAGGGCAGCTGGTAACGGGTAGCAGAGCCTGCGCCAGGAAAGTTTGAGGGATGGGGGATGACTAAGCCCCCCCCCCTTTTCATGTGAAAAGTGGGGAAACTGAAGCTAATTCTGCAGCCTGCTGGGCTCAGCAAGGAGGTATCTTGGAATGGGTGCTGCAGACACACGGGTCTGCGCTGGCTGGAGCAGCTGCCACCGCTGGGAGGCAAAGTCTTAGAGGCCGTGGACTCTCCTCCCCAGAATGCACACAGCGGTGGCGCTGGCCTCTCCCTCTGGATGTGGCTCAGGCTTGCTGGCCTGCTATAACTCTCTTTTCCAGAGGGAAGGCTGCTGGAGTCTGCCTGCAGAACACATCGAACAACCCTGGGATCCTGGGGACCTTGGGTAGCCAGACCCCAGCCAAGGAAATGAAAACTAGAAACCTCCTTCCAGAACACTGACTCCAGAAGTTGCGGGGAGTAATTTGCTTCCCGGGGAGAACCAGGCTCCTACCTCATGATTACCAACTCCAGCCACTCAAGTTTTTGCTTGTCTGTTGGGCCAGCTAGGAGGCCAAACAAGGGCTGCTTCTCTTAGGAGCGGACCACTCAGCCACCACCTATGCCTGGATAGCCCATAGACAGCAGACTGATGGACACAGGGTTGCATAAGGCCCTGAGCCTCAACATGCAATCAGCCCACAACTTATCCTGTGCTCCAGGGGTTCATCTGGCTGAAGGTTCACCCCAGCTGAGAGCGTGATCTTGCCCTGTCCCCTTCCATAGTCCTTCTTTCCCAACAGGTCCATGGCCACTGAAGCTCCACCTCGGGCTCTGTGGAGAGGAACTGTGGCCCCTGTTTGAGGACAATCTGAGCAGTGACCACCAGCAAGGGAGAAACTTAACAGTGGAGAACTTGCTCAACAGCAAGACCCTCAGAAGATACCTGGTCCAGGCTCTTGGCTTCCCAGAGAGGAACCAGAATGCTTTGGTCTTTCAGTACAGGATCACTGGGCCCGTGTTTCAGACGCGGGCAGTATCATAGTGTACAAGACAAAGTCCTTTCTTTGGAAGCTTATGAATCAGAATAGAGCAGTTAACAGTAAACATTTTCGCAGAAATCCCTACAGAACTTGGCAGGCAGGCAAAAAGGATACAACCAGGAAGTCCAGGCCACCTGCTGTGCTAGGTAGAATAAAGACCTTTTTCTGTGACCTAAGAAGCTCATATCTTGGGCAGCATCTGCCACAGGCAAAATGTACTCGCTCTCAAGGAAAGGGACATCCCAGGCTTTCATAGTTCTGCAAAGCAGCTAGTCTCAGGTAGCCATTTTAAATTCAAATGAAAATTTGAAGTAGTTCCTCAGTGGCACCAGGTAAATTGAAGGGGTGAGTGGCTACTGGAGTGGCTAGTGTGGATATGGAGCTCTCCCATTACTGGGACGTTCCATTGAAAAGCATGGGCCTTGGAGCAAGGAGTGCAGGGTTCAGGGCCTGGTGACCTGGCTACAATTCTTTTTTTTTTTTTCTCTAGATAGGGTCTCACTATGTAGTTCAGGATGGTCTTGAACTCACTACATAGCACAAACTGGGCTTGAACTCACAGCAATCTTTTTGCTTCAGCCTCCTGAGTGTTGGTAGTACTCGTGTGTATCACCACGCCCAGCCCTAGGTGCAATTCTTGTTCTATACCTTGCTGTATGTGTGATTTTGAGTGGATGAGTTGCCCTCTCTGAGCTCTACTTCCTCACTTTGCGCATGAAAACCATAGGTCCAACCTCTCGGGGATTGTGAGCATTGCAAGATGGGCAGGGAACCTGGGAGAAGACTGAATTCTGTGTGGCATGACAATGGGTGCAGGCAGAGAGCCGTGCTCCACAGGGGAGGAGCCAGGTGGCACTGGGCCAGGAAGGTCTGTGGTACCTGGCTGGCCTGGTACTGCAGGCAAACAGAAGGGATGGTTTTCTTCAGTGAGAGAAGCATGGTTTCCTGGTCAGTTGGGAGGACTGTGAGTGCCCACCTAGCCCATAGCCGGCGGGAAGCACGGCCTCCTCCCACCTGTCCTCTCCGGTGTCCATATCCAGTGAAAGTCTGTGCTTGGGGCACACCTGCC